CTGCCACACTCAATATTCATCATGCAAGTTTAACTTAATGAGGGTATAAGCTCTGAGATGCTCATGACAAAGGAATACCTCTGGGCAAAGCTGATGAGTTTAGCATCTGTCATGCTTCGGGAACAAAGCTAATAAGGAGATGGGGACAGGCATCCAATCTGTTTCCGTGTTTTCGCTTGCCGCGATTATTAGAGTCCCCAGATATTCCGAATTGCCGTGATCCGATTTGGCACGGTGCCGACTGCTTCCACGTAGAAGAGGCCACACTGTGCCAAATGGGGAGACTGGGCTCCCGTTTTCCTGGCTGCTTTTGCTTCTAGCAAAAGTACACTGCTGGTCCTGCGGCCCTCTGGAAGTCGGCCTGGAAGGCAGTGTGGACTCCAAGCTGAAAAAGGTTCCCTACCACCCAGGGCTGGATGAATCGCAAGCTGGAATTAAGATTGCCGGAAGAAATATCAACAACCTCAGATATGCAGATGACACAACCTTGATGGCAGAAAGTGAGGAGGAATTAAAGAACCTTTTAATGAGGGTGAAAGAGGAGAGCGCAAAATATGGTCTGAAGCTCAACATAAAAAACTAAGATCATGGCCACTGGTCCCATCACCTCCTGGCAAATAGAAGGGGAAGAAATGGAGGCAGTGAGAGATTTTACTTTCTTGGGCTCCATGATCACTGCAGATGGTGACAGCAGCCACGAAATTAAAAGACGCCTGCTTCTTGGGAGAAAAGCAATGACAAACCTACACAGCATCTTAAAAAGCAGAGACATCGCCTTGCCAGCAAAGGTCCGTATAGTTAAAGCTATGGTTTTCCCAGTAGTGATGTACGGAAGTGAGAACTGGACCATAAAGAAGGCTGATCGCCGAAGAATTGATGCTTTTGAATTACCTCTGGGAGATTTGCCAGCATGAGTTTGACCAAACTGCGGGAGGCAGTGGAAGACAGGAGTGCCTGGTGTTCTCTGGTCCTTGGGGTCACGAAGAGTCGGACACAACTAAATGACTAAACAACAACCACCACCCAGGGTATTAGGGCCTCGTTTTGGCTTCCTGTTACCTGAAAGCGCACCTTGCTGGAATCACTCAAGCTGGCATCTCCGTGTAAAAGGATCTTGTAGCATGCTGGCAACGGGGTCCTCCATGATGGTGGCATTGTTGTTGTTGGCATCTGTCTGCCTTTGGAGGCAATGGAGTGCGCCTCCACGGGTGAAGGCATACTATTGCGTTAGCAGCACAAAAGTGGCCTTCCTACGGCACAAGCTTGGGCAGTGTTTACAGAGGTTCTGGACTGCCCAAACAATAGGACATCCCTCTTCTTCTTTTTGTTAGAGCGTTTATTAATTTGCCAATAAAAAACATCCAATTAACATATCAAATCACAGTCCAATACAAATAAAAAACTAAAATAAAAAAAATCAAATTGCCTTCCAAATTATAATCTTAAACTTATGGCTTCCCGCAGTCTGAATTTCGAAGGTATCCAAATCTCAGTCCTGCCTCTCATCTCTCATTGATGTTTTCATATTTCCGCATCTTGATTTTATCTCTCCAGGCTTGTCTCTGGCTCTACGATCCTCAATCATATATATATCCGGCACCAGCTTGGCTGCAGAGGTTGCCGGAAGGAGGCGTACAAGGCACCATCCAACCATCTTAGGGACTCTGTTCTGGATTTGTGTAGTTTATTCCTGAGCCTTTTCTACTCCCGAAGATATCCCAGGAGGCAGCAGAGGTTTAGGGTCAATATTTTCCTTCTCCTAGATGGGCTACCTTCCCAGGTTGACGAGCCCCATCTGCCCCTCACTCCCCTCTATGGCACGTGCAGAAACCATCCAAACCGAAACATTCATCCAGAGGCAAAAAAGACATGGCTGGGAAACCGCATTGCAAAAATTCATAGAAGTGTGAATTTCAAAGGAAGGCTTTATTTCAGTTGTGTCTTGTTTCTGAAAGTACAGATTTAAATGCAAACAGGTTGGATTTCTCTCCGCACCCCCATTCCTACTTCTGAGTAGTCGTGGTTTGGATGGTGCTGCCACAGCAGGGCTGGGGAACCTGTGGGGCTCCAGATGTCACCAAACTACAACTCCCACCAGCCCCAGCAAGCATGGCCAATGCCCATGGATTATGGGAGTTGTAGTTCAGCCACCACTGGAGGTCCACAGGGCCAACACACCTGTTGCAGATGCACCCTGCGTTCCAACTATTGCACACATGACAAATTCACCTTTGCACACGGCGGCAGAAGAGAAGCAACGTTTGTGCGCACTGCCTTCATGCCCACGTAGACTCACGCCGTTAAACTTTCATGGCATCCAGAGATTCTTCTTTAATGGAAGTTTAAATTATTTATCTTTTCCCCCCTTGGCAAGCCAGGCTGGGTATCACTCCCCCTCTGAGTCCATCTGCCACTCGCTGCTGGCGATGTAAGTTATATAGAGAGTTGCAGGGGGAATCTTTTGTCTGGGAAACAGATAAGCAGGAAAGCTCATGGGGTTTCGGGGAAAAAAGATCACAGAAGTTTGAACGGCTCCTTAACCAGAGACAGTCTTCTTTGGAGCTGATTCCCAGATTCGCTTGCGAGGGCAAAATCCATTTGCCGAGAGCAGATTTCATGCACAGAAATGGGGATTCGGAATATTTTTAGAGCCTATTAATATGTAATGACTCTCACAGCCTAGACAACCTGTCTGAGCTTCTGCAAAGCAGAGCTTTTCATTTCCTTTTGATGTGGAAAAAGTCTAAAGGAGGCAGTGGCTTCCTTACATGCCTTGGCCTGGTCTGGGAGCTGGAAGGAAGCTCTTGCCTGCCTTTGTTTCTTGGGCAAGCGTTTGCGTAGTAGACCAAGCCTGGGAGAATTCGTCCATTTCGGTTTTCTCTCCCTGGCTCATTTTTCCAATCTTAAGTTCATTTCTCCACATTTTCACGTCAGCTTGCAAATTTGTTTTTCTAAAAAGCACCCCGTGAAAATCCACCACCGTTTTGGTGCAAATGTCTCCTAAGAAACACGTTTTTGGCAAGCGATTTCCCCCTGATGTGCATTTTGAAATTGATTCATCGCTAAGAGATGCAGTTCCCTAGATGCACACCTTAAACAACTTTAGTGCACAGTACACGGCTGGAGAACTGGATTGCAAAATTCAGAGAATTGTGGATTTTGAAGGATGGCTACATTTCAGCTCATCCCTTGTTTCTGAAAAGGCAGGTTTGCCTTCAAGAACAAACTTACGAGTTTCTCCCCCACTCCTCGTATAGTCTTACTGAGCCCTTCCAGGCTGGTGTTTATTTGCAAGTACTTTGCCACATGTCACTTACACAATAATGATGTATTAGTATTGTCCAACCACATATACTTCCTCTTTATTAGTTTTTCTGTCATGCTTCCCCAAAGTTACCATCTTATTGTAACCTGGAGGGGCACCTTTACACTATAGCACAGCAAAAGAGGGGGAATATATTATATATTATATATTATATATAATATATATATATAAATATATATATATATAAAATATATATATATACTGGAAGATCTACAGTATGAAAAGTTACAGTACTTCAACAGGAAAGTACAAAGCATGCACTAACTGGAAATGAAACAGAATGGTCTCCCCAGAATTTTTGCCAGTGCGATCAGTATTGAAAGCGGAATAGCATATAAATGCCCATTAGCATCATGAACACAAGTTATATTAAATGCACCGTAAAAAGGATGTCTGGAAGGGCCCATGACACGTCTCTGTTTACCTAACAACAGGGGTTTCAGGGGATCTAAAAAAGAGACGCGGGTGGCGCTGTGGGTTAAACCACTGAGCCTAGAACTTGCCAATCAGAAGGTTGGCGGTTCGAATCCCCGCGACGGGGTGAGCTCCCGTTGCTTGGTCCCTGCTCCTGCGCACCTAGCAGTTCGAAAGCACGTCAAAGTACAAGTAGATAAATAGGTACCACTCCAGCGGGAAGGTAAACAGCTTCCCCGTGCACTGCTCTGGTTCGCCAGAAGTGGCTTAGTCCTGCTGGCAACATGACCCGGAAGCTGTACGCCGGCTCCCTTGGCCAATAAAGCGAGATGAGCGCCGCAACCCCAGAGTCGGCCACGACTGGACCTAACGGTCAGGGGTCTCTTTACCTTTGCCTTACTCTGTCTTAGGCCGCACACTCTTGACTTCCCCCAAAGCATCCTGGGAACTGCAGTTTGTTAAGAGTGCTGGGAATTGTAGGTCTATAAGGGGGAAACTACAGCTCCCAGAATTCCTTGGGGGAAACCATGTGCTTTCAGCATGTGGTGCAGGTGTGATGGACGTTGACCATTGTCTACTGTGTATTAGGGTCACCGTGTACACCAGAAAGTGCTGCGAGTGCAAATCACGTACTTGAAATGTTCTCAGTTTCCACAGTCAATAATTTGCCTTTCGGAACCAGACACAGGGAAATATGAAAATGGGGTGGGGGGGGTTGAACCCCTTTTTTTGTCTTTGGTGTTCTCAGGTTGCCAACAACATCCTTCCTGAACCTTGGTTCCGAGATCGAAACGCACTCCATGCTGCTCCGAGGGCAGAGCATCTGTCTTGAATGCAGAAGGTCTCCGGTTCAGTATGTGGCAGTGTGTCCTGACAGGATGGGGAAAACCTGTGTCTGAAAACTTTGACTCTGTATAATGCAGCTCCCGGCATTCCTATGTCTCGCAAGCGCTTGACAGACAGCAGGAGACTGCTCAGACTTCCCTAAGTTACTTATTTGCTTTTGGGGAGAGGAAAAAAATTCCTCAGTTTTAAAAATAAAAATGTCTGCACACCTAAGTATGGAAGATGCTTCTTACTGAGTCACTCGCAACAGAAATCTGTAACTCAATGGGAACCGATTAACGTCACTGCTTTTGGCTGACAGCGAGTCGCACATCTGCCAGAGTATTGGAAAGCGATTGATTTTGCAACGTTAGAGGCCTGGAGGGACTGAAGGCTGTTATGTGACTGCGAAGCAAAAGTCAGCAGACGCCTTTGTGGAAGGAGGCGATAGATTTTTACCATGTTCAAAAGAGGACATGTAGGACATGTTGCTGTAAGGGACATTGGTTTAATTATTAGCTCTCTTCCCCGTGCCTAGGATCAGGCGGATAAGGGCTCTGTGCAGGTGGGACTCCTTAGAATCATAGAGTTGGAAGAGACCACAAGGGCCATCGAGTCCAACCCCCTGCCAAGCAGGAAACACCATCAGAGCACTCCTGACATATGGTTGTCAAGCCTCTGCTTAAAGACCTCCAAAGAAGGAGACTCCACCACACTCCTTGGCAGCAAATTCCACTGTCGAACAGCTCTTACTGTCAGGAAGTTCTTCCTAATGTTTAGGTGGAATCTTCTTTCTTGTAGTTTGGATCCATTGCTCCGTGTCCGCTTCTCTGGAGCAGCAGAAAACAACCTTTCTCCCTCCTCTATGTGACATCCTTTTATATATTTGAACATGGCTATCATATCACCCCTTAACCTCCTCTTCTCCAGGCTGAACATGCCCAGCTCCCTTAGCCGTTCCTCATAAGGCATCGTTTCCAGGCCTTTGACCATTTTGGTTGCCCTCCTCTGGACACGTTCCAGTTTGTCAGTGTCCTTCTTGAACTGTGGTGCCCAGAACTGGACACAGTACTCCAGGTGAGGTCTGACCAGAGCAGAATACAGTGGCACTATTACTTCCCTTGATCTAGATGCTATACTCCTATTGATGCAGCCCAGAGACATCGAAACTGAGCTGGCTGTTGGTGGCAAGCTGTGGGAATGGCAATGGGCATACCCAGTTATTTCAATGAAAGAGGGGTGAGAATCCTCAGTCCTGTGAACAAAACACAGCCCTTGGTCCCTTTCTATGCAACCCAGGTGTCAGGGTTGGAGTCATACACAGGTCAGCACAAAAGGTTCTGTGCTGGGAGCCTGAAACCTCTGGCATGACCTTCTCACAGAAGTTCTCCTTCAACTCCATCCACTGTGGAAGTTTTCCCTGAGCCCAGGAGGATCTTTGTTCCTTATTATGAATTCCGAGGACGTCCCTCCTGCAGCTCTTTTTCTGCTAACTCACCCAAAGCAGCCGAGCTCGGGAACCTGAAGTGACCCCTCTCTCAAAACAAAAGCTCCTCTGAGCAACTGTGGGCAACTGAACAACAGCCTTTGAGCAAGGAACCGGATTCTTTTGGAAATTGCTCTCTGCCACAGTCATCCTCTTCTGTTCTCTCTCCAGCCGTCTTTGCGCGTCAATTTATAAAGTGCAAAGGGAGTTCATCGCAACAAAAGCCCTCCCAAGTTTCTAGAACACAATCATGCTTTTTTTAGCGGCGCCGCTTTTTCTGGTGGGAGAGCGACGCCTTTTCCTCCCACAGGAGTTTTAAATGGTGTCTTCGACCTTCATTCATTCCCTCTCTCTGTGAGGTTTCCCCTCACAGTCTTCTTCAGAGGATCAGATCAAGGATTCGGAGTCAGAAGGAGAATTGAACTCAATGCCAGCTCTGGATGCAGGCCGAGTCCATGGTAGCGGCGCCCTTTCAGCCTGAAGGTGTCAAACTGCCATGTTCTGAGTCCGAGGACTCCATGGCAGAAGCCACACAACAACCAGAGTCTCTCCCACACTCCATTGGAGTATAAGATGGCTGGAGCAGGCTGGAGCCCTTTGACTGAAAAGGTACCTTTCAGTGAAGGTAAAGGTAAAGGGACCCCTGAATATTAGGTCCAGTCGTGACCGACTCTGGGGTTGCGGTGCTCATCTCGCTTTACTGGCCGAGGGAGCCGGTGTACAGCTTCCGGGTCATGTGGCCAGCATGACTAAGCCTCTTCTGGTGAAACCAGAGCAGCGCACGGAAATGCCGTTTACCTTCCCACCGGAGCGGTACCTATTTATCTACTTGAACTTTTGATGTGCTTTTGAACTGCTAGATTGGCAGGAGCAGGGACCAAGCAATGGGAGCTCACCCCGTTGCGGGGATTCAAACCGCTGACCTTCTGATCAGCAAGTCCTAGGCTCTGTGGTTTAACCCACAGTGCCACCCGTGTCCATTCAGTGAAGGAGGAGCTTGCAATTAGGACAGAGGAAGGAAGGAAGGAAGGAAGGAGACTGTCACTGAAACAACATCAACACTCTGCTCATGTTTAGTATTCAGCCTGAGTCAGGCACAAGGATGCTTTTCCTCAGAGGAAGGTTCCAGAAGGACTGAGTTCAAGGCTCTCTGCAGCTACATACTTCCATGTGCTGCATGTTGGTGTAATGTGAACAATGGGTTAAATTACACAGTGCTTGGCTCATGTACTGAGCCAGCACCCCCACACCCCCACGGAAGACCTCTGCAGGTGATTGCATGCTCACACTGGCGAGCGATGGCACGCACTACATCCCATGCTGCAAATTCAAACACGCGCATGTGGTTGTTGGAAGGTCAGGCAAGAGAGCGCATGCGCCTCCAGATTCCTGCAGGGCGAGTGGGCAAGCTCAGCGGCGAAGGCTCTCGTCCTGGGCCCAGCCCCCAAGCCAGCGCCATCAGATCAGATTGTGAGGACAGTTGCCTTCAGCCGAGATTTTCCAAAGCATATCTGCATGCATCCATTTCACAGAGGAGCAGAAACCCATCAATCCTGTTCTGTCTGTAAGCAGTACTCTTCTATGAGTGAGCTCCAGACCTGTGATTGGCCCGTGGGAGACCACCTGACTTTAGCAAATGGGAAATGAGAATGGAGAGGTGCGACCTACTTCTAAATGTGTCTTCAAGCCCCAAGGTAAACATTGTGAACGCTCCAGTGAGAGGGCAATGTGGTGGCATCTTATCTCCCTCCCCCTCCTGCTCCCATTCCTGATTTTCATCTCAATTCCGGCAGCCACAGAAAACCACCAGAGGTTGCATCTCTAAGGGCCAAAAGCAGACGGCGTGTTTTTTAAAGCTACAAAATGCTGCTTGGCGTGATGTGACTGTTCTCTTCCAAGAAAGCTTTGAGGCTCAGAATAAAAGAGACCTGTTTTTAGGAATGGGGGGGGGGGCAGTCAGTTTCTTTTCATTTCTCATTTTCCCACCATAAAGATCAGTCTGCTACATCTCTGCAACAGTTTGTGTTTGTGAATTCTTATCTTCTTCTTTTTTATGTCCTCACAAAGATTTGCCAACATTTCAGTGCAATTTTCTCCCAATAGACACATTTTCGTATGCAGTTTTGCCTATTGTACACATTCCCCCAAATATAATGGTATTTTTGTGCATTGTTTTTCACTATTATATGCACTCTTAGGCACAGACTACCCTAGTGTATGCACATTGTGTCAAATTACGTGGCTGGAGATGTTCATTGCAAAATTCAGAGAAGTGTGAATTTCAAAGGATAGCTCTGTTTTAGTTTCCATGATGATCAGAAAGTGCCAGTAGATAAGTTTGCCTTTAAATGAAAATAGAATCTAATTTCTCCTCCATCCCTGATTTGCTGCCTTACTCTGGTCTGTCCAGCTGAGAAAAAAAACTAACTAAAAACACGTCCTGAACTTTTCTGAATAGCCTCGATTCCTCAGGCAGTGAAATTCAGAATGTGAATTGATTTTCTTTTTTTAATAGGACAGCTATTGTGTCAACGTAGAAACATCACATTAATAAAAAAAAAGGCATATCAAAACAGTGGAAGGCATAAAGAGAAAAATAAAATAAACACATCGATGTTATCGATCCCAGAGAAGGCTGGTTGATGAGATGCCGTGTGTGTGTTCTTCAAAATGATGACACCGGCATACCACTTTGAAAACATTTGCCAAGAAAACCTCACTGTGGTTCCACCTCTCTCTCACACTCCCCCCCAAAAAAAATTTCATTCATTTTATAACACAAATAAACAACACAAACAGAAAAAAACAATACAAACAAATTCTTGTCTTATCCTTATTTTTTCTAAACATTGTTAGGTGAGCTTCCCCAAGTCCCCCCATCTGATTTTCATTTTACCTCATCTTTAGCAGTTTTCATATATCATAATTTTTAACCATTTTTTTAACACACTTACTTTTACCATAAAAATCTCCACATTTTATCCCTCACATATAATACTATTTTAAAATACACTATCTTCTACATCTTACAGCCTATATCCACTTCCAAAGCTATTCTAAGATTTAAATATTAACATATTTTTTTCAAATATTCTTTAAACTTCTTCCAATCTTCTTCCACCGTCTCTTCTCTCTGGTCCCGGAGTCTCCCAGTCAGTTCAGCAAGTTCCATATAGTCCATCATCATCTCTCTCACACTTTTAAGGCAGGGTTGGGGAAACCCATGGCTCTCCAAGTGAATTTTGGTAAACACTTTGCATTCTGGTTCCCATCACCCGCATCCAACATGGCCGAGGGTCAGGAATAATGGGATCTGTAGTTGTTGGTGTACATGAACTGGTTGGACAAAGAGGAACAGTGAGAGGAACCGGCTGGGGAATCCACAAGGGAAGAAGGCTCAGAGCCCAGGGAATGATGGTGGGATGATGATGACTGGTCAGAGGGAGAAGAGGGAGAAGATACCTGAAGGAGCGTCTCCACCCCCATCGTTCTGCCCGGACACTGGGGTCCATCTCCGAGGGCCTTCTGGCAGTTCCCTCGCTGCGAGAAGCCAAGTTACAGGGAACCAGGCAGAGGGCCTTCTCGGTAGTGGCACCCGCCCTGTGGAACACCCTCCCACCAGATGTCCAAGAGAAAAACAACTACCAGACTTTTAGAAGACATCTGAAGGCAGCCCTGTTTAGGGAAGCTTTTAATGTTTAACAGACCACTGTATTTTAATACTTTGTTGGAAGCCGCCCAGAGTGGCTGGGGAAACCCAGCCAGATGGGCGGGGTATAAATAATAAATTCTATTCTGTTCTAAGATTGGGAAGAGGAGGTGTTGGAAACAGGGCTTAATGAGCTGGGAGAGTCTGTGGCAGAGAGAAGAAGTCCAGAAACAGAAGCAGAAGAGGGAGGCCAAGAGGCAGAGATGAGTCAGGCTGGTAAAAAGGCCTGGGTATCTCATCCTCCTGCTGAGACAAGCGCCCCTCTGCCCGGTCTCCCAGAACCAGAAGAGGCGTGGAAAGAGCAGAGAAGAAGTTGGCTGCACACAGAAACAGTCTCAGATTGCTTGGGGAAAGCCTTGGAGAGGAGGGGACCTAGATGGCTGTGAGGAGGTGGGGACTTTCAGTCTCGGCAACTGGCTTTTCATGGAGCAAGACCACAAGGAGTGAGCTGCTTTGCTCCTTAGTCTGCTGCAAGTCTGTGGAGATCGTGCTTTTGCTAATGAAGAGTTAACTTCAACTCTGAACAGTGTGATCACTCCTGTGGCAGCAGCCAAATCTAGAGGGCTGTGGGTTCCCTGTCCCTGTTTTAAGGAAGTCCCCACACCTAGTTTTGTTGAATAGCGGTGGATTCAGCTCTTTGTTGTTGTTTAGTCGTGTCCGACTCTTCGTGACCCCATGGACCAGAGCACGCCAGGCACTCCTGTCTTCCACTGCCACCCGCAGTTTGGTCAGACTCATGTTTGTAGCTTCGAGAACACTGTCCAACCATCTCGTCCTCTGTCTTCCCTTCTCCTTGTGCCCTCCATCTATTCCCAACATCAGGTTCTTTTCCAGGGAGTCTTCTCTTCTCGTGAGGAGGCCAAAGTCTTGGAGCCTCAGCTTCAAGATCTGTTCTTCCAGTGAGCACTCAGGGCTGATTTCCTTCAGAATGGATAGGTTTGATCTTCTTGCAGTCCATGGGACTCTCAAGAGTCTCCTCCAGCACCAGAATTCAAAAGCATCAATTCTTCGGCGATCAGCCTTCTTTATGGTCCAGCTCTCACTAGGATAAGGCAATTGTCCCATCAGTGGAAGCATTTCTCCTTGCCAGATGGAACAATCTTCCTCTCCCTCCACTGTGTTCTTGGGGCATTCTTCTGACAACTCCACCACAGTTTTTTTTTTTGGGGGGGGGGTTATAACGTGGGGAGGAAGAGGCTTCCACTAGTGCAACAATTGAGATGAATCAGGCCCTGGAGATTTAATTCTTCTTTGCTTTTAAGGGATTATAGGCTTAGGCCATAAACAATTCAGTTACTGTCGCTCCGTCTTCCCCAAAGAGGGCAACTTGCCAGCCGCTGCCTTCCTCTCACTCCGAGCCCAATTAACTGCTGTGTAAGCAGAACTGCAGTCTTTTTCTTTCCCAGAGCACAGAACCAGCGCTTTGAGAATTAGGGTCACTGCTGTAATTAACAGCTGAGCTCATGGAAAAGGTGGCCAAGCGTCGCAGGCAGCTTTTGAAGGCTGCAAGCAAACGAAAATGAAAAACAGGTCATTTTTTGCGGCTATCAGGTGGCAGCCCTGATGGCACAAGGTACGTGCAATCCCTTTTGCCACCTCCTACCTCCTGCAGCTGGAAGAGAGTCCAGTGAGAGCTGGACCATAAAGAAGGCTGATGGCCGAAGAATTTATGCTTTTGAATTATGATGCTGGAGGAGACTCTTGAGAGTCCCATGGACTGCAAGAAGATCAAACCTCTCCATTCTTAAGGAAATCAGCCCTGAGTGCTCACTGGAAGGACAGATCCTGAAGCTGAGGCTCCAATACTTTGGCCACTTCATGAGAAGAGAAGACTCCCTGGAAAAGACCCTGATGTTGGGGAAGATGGAGGGCACAAGGAGAAGGGGACGACAGAGGACGAGATGGCTGGACAGTGTTCTCGAAGCTACCAGCATGAGTTTGACCAAACTGCGGGAGACAGTGGAAGACAGGAGTGCCTGGCGTGCTCTGGTCCAGGGGGTCACGAAGAGGAGGACACGACTAAATGACTAAACAACAACAACATGTCTTTTTTTGGGGCGGGAGAATAATATTAATGAAAGTGTTCTGATCTATTGTAATTACGATGCATTTTGATGTATGTTGATATATTTTTATGTTTTGCCCCTGCTTTGTTTTCCTGATTTAGTTGTTCTGCCAAGATAAACTGCTTAGAGCAGGACTCAGCAAACTTTTTCAGCAGGGAGCCAGTCCACTGTCCCTCAAACCTTGTGGGGGGCCGGACTGTATTTTGAAGAGAGAGAAAATGAACGAATTCCTATGCCCCACAAATAACCCAGAGGTGCATTTTAAATAAAAGCACACATTCTACTCATGTAAAAACATGCTGATTCCCGGACCGTCCGCGGGCTGGATTTAGAAGGTGATTGGGCCGGATCCGGCCCCCGGGCCTTAGTTTGCCTACCCATGGCTTAGAGAGATTTATTTAATTACCCAAAATGTGGGATTAGTAGTAGTAGAAGTAGTCGTGTTTTGGTATGGTTTCAAATGCAGAGTTTGTGATGTATTTCTTTTGCTGATGTTAAATGAATGAACGTATGAAATCTCTGCTCAGTGATGAAAGTCCCTGGGTGAACTTGGACCAGTCATTTTCTGGGCCACACATTTACCACCCCTGATGCTGTGGCAAATTTCAATTTTCCTTTGAATTTGACTGCTGATAATCATATGACAAGGGATGCGGGTGGCGCTGTGGGTTAAACCACAGAACCTAGGACTTGCTGATCAGAAGGTCGGCAGTTCAAATCCCCGCGATGGGGTGAGCTCCCGTTGCTCGGTCCCAGCTCCTGCCAACCTAGCAGTTCAAAAGCACGTCAAAGTGCAAGTAGATAAATAGGTACCACTCCGGCAGGAAGGTAAACGGCATTTCCGTGCGCTGCTCTGGTTTCACCAGAAGAGGCTTAGTCATGCTGGCCACATGACCCGGAAGCTGTACACCGGCTCCCTCGGCCAGTAAAGCGAGATGAGTGACGCAACCCCAGAGTCGGTCACAACTGGACCTAATGGTCAGGGGTCCCTTTACCTTTACCTAATCATATGAAATACGCCCTTCCCCAGCGCCCTTCAAGGAGTAGGGTTGTTCCGCTGTGTCCTTTTATAGGATCTGATCTCTTTGAAGGAACTAATGCCAGATCCTTAAGACGCTGAGCTCAAGACAATTTCAGCTTCAGGCTGCCTTTTGCAACCTGGTTCTCTCCAGATGTTGCTGGATTCCAATTCCAGCATATGGAGGGCATCAGCTTGCGAAGAGGCAGGTTTGGGACATCATACGTCATGGCTAGGCAAACTAAGGCCCGAGGGCCAGATTTGGCCCAATTGCCTCAAAATCTGGCCTGCGGACTCAGGGAATCAGTGTGTTTTTAAATGAGTAGAATGTGTCCTTTTATTTAAAATGCATCTCTGGGTTATTTGTGGGGCATAGGAATGCGTTCATTTCCCCCCCCCCTCAGAATATAGACCAGCCCCCCACAAGGTCTGAGGGACAGTGGACCGGCCCCCTGCTGAAAACGTTTGCTGACCCCTGTCATACATCATCCCAGCTTGCAATGCACGCAATACTAACTTTCTCGGGCCACATCTTTGCATTTCTGTAACCAATTAATTCCCCCCACCCCGAAGGAAAGCGCCATCTCAGCAGACAAAGCAAAAAGATTTGTTTTTGAAACGCAAGTCGCCTGCACCTGGTGAGAAATGCGAGTCTTTGCAATTTCCATCTCTATCCCAGACTTTTCTTTATTTTGCCCTCCTTCCATTCTGCGGTTGTGCAGGGAAAGGGGGAGCAGCTCACTTATCGGGAACATGCAAAGAGAGAAATCGTTTGCATCTTTGAAAGCATTGTCTGGTAAGGTAAACAGGAATTTTGCCATATGCAAAATCTATTCAAGAGGCAGTTTTATACAGCTCTAGAACAAAGGTCTGTATAGTTAAAGCTATGGTTTTCCCAGTAGTGATGTATGGAAGTGAGAGCTGGACCATAAAGAAGGCTTGAAAAATTGATGCTTTGA